TAAATTTGGCGGCACCCACTCCATGGATTTCTTTGCTGGTCTTGATACTGGCATTCTCAGTACATGTCCTGCAAATACACACAGTAGCATTGAAAAAAATTATTAATATCATATATGTACAATTTGTGTATTAAGATGTGTAAACCAACCCATGGGAGAATTATACTCAGGTGAAAAAACAAAATAACATCTAAGCTGGGGATTTGACCTCCACCACTAAAGTGGTAATAATCCTTTTTGACGACTGTAAATGATACTTTGTTTAGGAGTGCTTTATTTGGAACTGTTAATCATTGTACAAACAGATGAAAGAGATTGACAAGAAAACCTTTCATAATTTCCCCTAACTTTGGTTGTGTTGAAGTTCCTGTATTTTTTATTTCCTTGAATCTACAAGTGGTGGAAAAAACTATTAAACATAAAATCTACACTTTTGTCATTAATAAAAGTTTGTCAACATAAGTTTGATTTAGACAAGTCTTGAAGGGTCTTTCTATGAATGGGATATAATTGCTCACTTATGTAATAAACTTTGGCTTTTAAACTTTTGAAACCTATTTCATCTTGAATGATTACAGCGAAGTCATTCAGTGAGAAATACCATTGATGATTGATATTTATACATTTATCAAATAATTTGCAATCTTCCCTAATCTTGTTGTTCTAGAATGAAAGTTTTGGCCAAATTAAAGTTGATCTTGAGGAAACATGGGTTATAAATAGAATACAGAGTTCTGTATAAGTAACGAAAGATTGAGATTAATACAATATGATTTCTTATTGCAGATGTGGGTGGAATAATTATCAGGAAAATAAAGATTGGCCAGCTTAATTGAAGCTGAGAGCCATTTGTTTGCATACATGTGAAGAACAAATGAAACACAGATACATGAACTGAACTTGAAAGATAGAAATTATACAATCAAACAAAAATAGTTTTATTAGTAATGAATAATATATTACAAAAGATTTAATAATTATGGTGTAATGAACACTAACTGCATTAAATTTATAATATTTTCAGTTATACCTTTTATTGAAGATGTGTATAGCTTACATAAATTATGGAAGTAGTTGAAGCTTTTAGTGAAAAATCAGAGTATTTATTTCGAATGAAAATAAATAATTTGAAATATTTTCCCCTTTAACTGTCCTTTCAAAATAATTTTTAAAGTATTTGTATTTTAATAAAGAAGGTTCTCAGTGACTATATGGATATAGGTATCAAATTACACTTACCTCCACCTTTTGCAATTAATCAATTATATGCCTTTACTGGCTGATTTCAATTATCATAGCTTTAAGGCCACATACTGACCAAGATCGACAGTACCTCCATTTTAACCTTAAATTTAATCATTTAATATTTTGATATTTGTGCAATGTTATATGCTGCTATGGGGCTAAGTGCACACTCAGAGCTGTTAAAATCATTGAAAATGAACAAACGTGGGCAAGTTTTGGCCTTTTCTGGTGTATCTACGTCTGTTGTGGGAAGTTTATTTGACATGCTTTTAGACAGCTGGTCTGTGCTTTAGGCAGCTTGGATGAGGTCATGTTAGGTCAACTATGTCACATAATAAATGTCATCAGGAATCACTTTTGTTCTAGTATTTCAGATTTTTAATGTTGATAAGAAGATAATACTTTTAGGGATAAAATTATGAAAAGAAAACTATATAATGAATAATATATAATATCCAGGGTGCATACGCATCCTTGAAAGTCCTTGAAATTAAGAATGGAATTTCAAGGGCTTGAAAGTGCTTGAAAAGGGGCCTTTTTTTTCTTTTCAAAAGTATTTGAAAATATTATATTAGCAGAATATATCGATATATTTAACTTTAATGCATGTTGTGGAGTTGAGTACAATAAATAAAGTCTTTCTTTTCTTTTTAGTTTACATTCATGTGTTGAACAAATAAATAGGAATTTTATAAAATTTCAGTGGAATCTGATTGATTTTGATGTAGATTTTAACCTCCAAAATGTGCTTAAAACATTCTGAAAGTGCTTATATAATGAATAATATATAATATCCAGGGTGCATAAGCATCCTTGAAAGTCCTTGAAATTAAGAATGGAATTTCAAGGGCTTGAAAGTGCTTGAAAAGGGGCCCTTTTTTTTCTTTTCAAAAGTATTTGAAAATATTATAATAGCAGAATATATCGATATATTTAACTTTAATGCATGTTGTGGTGTTGAGTGCAATAAATAAAGTCTTTCTTTTCTTTTTAGTTTACATTCATATGTTAAACAAATAAATAGGAATTTTATAAAATTTCAGTGGAATCTGATTGATTTTGATGTAGATTTTAACCTCCAAAATGTGCTTAAAACATTCTGAGAGTGCTTGAAATTGATCTGAGCAATTGAATATGAATCATGAATGTGTTAAAGGAACATTTCAATTTCAATTATACTGACACAAGAGTTGGAACGTGATTGTTATGAGAGCATTTTCTACATCTATGATAGATCATTCTCCTTATTGTTATATTGGTTATCTTTGTACCAACACAACCAAGTATATTAAAGGGGCTAAAAGAAAAGATGAACTAAATGTTTAGCATTTTGAATTAACTGTCAATACCTTTCTTATTAAATGCACAAATCACACATTGAACAATTTGAAAGGAAAAACATATTGAACTTATTTTGAAACATTTTACAGTTGATACATCATTATTTATGTTGATTTTTTTTTACGAAACGTTCTCCAAGTGTAAAACTTGTTAGTGTTTATTTCAATTGGTAATTTATTTTTTTATTTAGGATGTTGTTCTCATGGCACAAACATTAGAGAAATTATTCCTGACAAAGATTGCTGAGATGCCAAAAGAAGTAAGCAATGATTATAAGATTTTATTTCTAACCAGTAAGTTTATTAAATGCAAACTACTTTAAGATAAATATTTAAAAACTTTCTCAAGTTTATTTGAAATATAGAATATTAAAATACTCTTGATTAAATTTGTACAAATCACTTGTCTAAAACACTTGGTAATTAGTTGAAATTTAAAATTATTTTTTGGTTTCTTTGTCAGATTGTAATTTAAAACATATTATGTGTGTTTATATATATATATAATTACTAAACTTTTATTGATTTTCTTTTTTAAGTTGCAACAAGTAATTTTTTAATTCTTTCCATACAGGAATCCTTTTTCTGCACACATCACAGAGTTTTACTGAGTTACATTCAATATTCAATTAAAGTACTTTATTATCATGGTATATGAATAAACTTGGCATTGAAACATAGCTAATAACCCAAATTTTAATATTATAAATAATTTATGTTCTTCATTTTATATATCAATATAAAAAAAAATCTTAAATTTTCCCTGGTATAAGAATTCTGACACTTGGTTTCTAGGTATTCCCTCTTCTCTAATTTATTTACCACTGCTCCTAGAAGTATGAAATTTGATGTAAATTATTCATTATAACGTTGTCATTGTTCAGACAAAGCATAATTTTGGTAGCCTCAATGTTATTTCGATACGGAGCTATAAACTAGAAAATCAGACCCCTCTTGCCATGCTCAACTGTCACATCCTCTCTTTCAAAAATTGCCAATAGTTCTCTCTGATATTTAATACTGTATTGTTTATAACGAATAGAAAGCCAAGGTTTTAATTGATCAAATGACATATTATGTTGTTTTCTATACAAAGAATTGTCTGTATTGCTTCCAGCTCAAACTTTATTCCCACAAGAAACACATCAGTAAGCTTAGCTGAATATTTAACAGCTCATGTCGCATAGTTAGAAAGCCAGAAAAATTGTGATAGTTGTAGGACATTGTCTGCATTTTGCATGTTATTATTATCCATTTTTTGGTGCATTATTTAATCAAATGAAAAAATTATTTATTGCAATAGTACCATTAGTTTAAAAAAAGTAGGGTTAAGTTTCATTGACAATCAACAACAAAAACAAAAAAGACCCAGGTAAGTACTGTAATTCTTGTATTTCATGCATATTCTTTGTTATTATAAAAGTAACTAAAATGTAAAACTTGGAAACGTTTTAGGTTAGATAAGGTAAAATAAATAATAATAATTTTTCACAAGGTATGCTTGTAAGTAGCCTGTGCATTACATAATTTGACAGGATAATGTGAGCTACATGTTTGCCATGTAATTTACACTTTGTGTGACAAAAATATTAGTTAGACATGGTTCAAAGGGTAATAAAACAGCAAAAGTTACCTAGAAACAGATGTAAATTGTTATGACTTTACAGATATTTAAGATAAACAAATGTAGTTTTCATGTTACAATATAAAGTCATTCAAAAAAGAAAACGTAGGGTAACTTAGATTTACTTTGAATCTGTTTTGGTGGTTACGAGGTTGATCAAATTTCAATAGTACCATTGGTATAAAAAAGTAGGGTTAAGTTTTATCGACAGTTGATAGCATAAACAAAACTAGTGCAACAATTTGTCCATGAGAGCATAGCTCAAGTTAGGGTAGAGAAATAACAGATAAATGCAAAGTTTTACTGAAAAAATAAATGAAATTTATTTAGGAGGTTTAAGATATTATGAAAATGAAATTTTAGAATTTTCAGATGAAGAAAAAGATTTAATATGAAAATCACTTTGAACTTGGAGCAGTCAACACTTTGAGAAATATGGAGATATATTTAGTAAAAAATACTTCATTAAAAGTTCTGTTGTTGTTTTTTTTTTGTCTACAAAAGACTTAATGATTACTGAAAACTTGAGAAATTTCAGGAAGATACAAAAAACATTAGAAGTTATAGTATGTTAATTATAAAGGTCAATTTGGGGTTATGAACTTGTTCAATTTGTCCAAGCCTGTAGTGAGAAGAGTTAAATATTTATATTTACTATTTGTGGGTGTGCTATTGATTCATTCATTATCCTTTAACCAGTCAGTAATTGTTAAGTGAGAAGAAGATGTAACAAGCACTAATGAAATTTACATTGAGCTGATGCTAAATGTTCTGATTGTTTTAACATAGGAAATTGAAATCCCTATGCCACCAGTCAGAGGTCCAGGGAATAAAGGGAGAGGGAAAAAAGGAAAGGGTGGCCCTAGAGGGAGAGGTGAGCATGTCTAACAGTTCAAATACTAAGTCTGTTGATAAGAAAATTTGAAAGTGATTGAATTAACAGTGGTGTGTTTTTTCTTTAATTTTGGATTAAAATTATATTCCATTATATTAGAAACCTTTTAAAGGTCATCATCCTTTTTATAATCAGTTAGATTACTAGTACATTTTTACCTGCAGTTAGCATTAGCAGAAATATTAAATAGTTTAAATGTACACCTTCAATTGTTTGTTTCAAGCAGCTCCATCAACAACAGTGGCTCCAAATCCAGTGACTCTTGTTTCAGTAGCAGCCACTATGCCAAATTCCCTGCCTTCCGTCCCTGTGTCACAGTCTGCTCCTTATCCACCACTTTTGACCACCATGGCACCAGCCACTGTTCCAGGAAGTACTAATACAACAACAACCCTTGCAGCAACTGCAACAGTTAGTGCAGTGACTCCTCACATCGCACAGAAACCCTATGCATACTCTGGAGTAGGTGATGCTTTTGCGCCAGTTGCCTCCATGACACCCTTAAATGAAGGCCCACCAGTTACGTTACATGGTCCTACAAATCACCACATAGAAAGTGTTACACAAGCAACTTCCATCACTACAGTCAGCTCTGTACCAGCCAAAGTAAGATACTGTTTTTATTAAAATTAACTTGAAGGGCTTTAAGTAACTACTCTAGTGCAGAAATGAACCCCCAACTTCTGATTGTTTATGCCTTAAAACATATTTTTCAGGAATAATTGAGTGGTGAAACAGTAGTTAATTTGGGAGGGGGGCATTATTTGAATATACTGAGAAAAGAAAACTGACTGTTATCTCTAAAGTTGAAGTTGTATATTAAGTGTATAATTTTTTCCACAAAAGACAGCTTTGCTAGTCAGTTTTATACTTTTGATGACTTGAGTCATTTTAGTACTACTCAATTTGTATCAATATAGTTACGGATAAAAAAAAAAAATTCCACTGCAAATGCACAAATAGTAAAAACATTAAACTTTTAAATGAAAGTGTTTGAGGTATAACATTTTTCTAGAAGTAGTGCAGTACTGTAGTAAGAGAATATCTTAACTGAGTGTTTCATTTATTAACAGATAAAAAAAGGAGTCAAGAGGAAAGCAGATACAACAACCCCTTCAAACAGTGCGACGCTTGATATGTTAGTATACCAAACCTCCAATGAAACTAAAGTTTCCAGAATGTCAACAAGAAGAGAAAGTGGCCGACCAATCAAAAGGCCATCAAAGGATCTTCCAGATGTTCAGGTTATCAGTCCTGATGTTTTTTAAAACTTGAAATATTTAATTATAGAATATTCATTAAAACATTAAACCTATATTTCATATATATATATATATATACTAATAGATGAATACAATGAAAAAGGTTTTTGCTAGTTTTATTATTTTTTTTAATAATCTTGCAGAAATATTTTATAAATGATGCAGGATAAATAATAATTTATCATATTTTTTTTATTGAAAATTGATAAATGTTTATGATGTATTTTAGAACATAACTAAACCAAGGAAAGGGAAACTGTCAGAACAGATGAAATATTGTAGTACCATCCTCAAGGAAATTTTTGCAAAAAAACATGCTGTAAGTCTAGTATTAAAATTGTTATCATTTAGAATAGAAATATACGGAAATTGTTTGCTAAAGAACTTTTCAAATTCTAACCAATATATCATTGCACATAAAAATAATCTCAACAAAACAAAAATAATGATTATGATATGAAAGTGAGCAATTGATAATAATATAAAGGAATAGTTAAAATTCCTTTAACCCTATGTACATGGGGTCAGTTCATTGGACCAAACCCATATTAGAGAATTAATGTATACTGTAATTCCAAATTTATTAAATGTAACTTCAAGAAATTTGGTGAACTTTTAGTAAACAATACACGTATGTTGCACACAGTTAATGAGATTTTTAAATAAAGTATTTTTGCAAAAGATTTGGTTGTGAATTTTACAAAGTTGGTCTTACTCGGGCTCTGACTAGTCTGACTAAAGGAGGTGATTTTTCTGTTAAGAATAAAAATACTTTTTATCTTAAGTTTCATATTTCATTTACATTATCTCTAGAACTTCCTAAATTAATATCAAAAACCTTTTTCCTGTAAAGCTTTATCTTTTATTTTCTCTACACTAACTCTACTGTAATGAAATCATATGTAATGAAAGTTGAAAAACATGATGTAAAATTTTTTTTATTCTAGAATGAATGCAGACAAGTATTTACAGTTATTTATCCCAAATGCTTTAGGCTTCTTACCTTTTCACAAGTGCTTTCATTTAATTGTATTCTTTTGTTGCGCTTTGAACTGTGTCTAACTACTAAACTAGTGTAACAAATCATCCATGAGAGCACAAGTGGCTCATATGCATATCTTGTTGAGAAATTTTTATTTCATTTTCTCTTAATTTTTATGATTTATTTAGTTTTCTAAAATAAATAATAAATGTACACAAAAAATGAAATTTAGTACTTTTGCACTTGATCATGGATATCTTGTCAAAACTTAACCCTACTTTTTGGCGGGGTTTGTTAGTAGTATGCAATTTTTTTTTTCTACGTTCACTTATGCAATTTTGAACACAAAATATTGTGCAAAAAATACAATGTTCTAAGACCTTTGTAGTCTAACTCTTTCAATACAGGGTTGGGCAATGTGACGACCTCGTAACCATTTTGTGCTTGTTATAGTTTTCATGCTATAACTTCTAAATTAGTAAGCGAGAATTAGCAAAATTTGGCAAATTATCATTAAACATTACAATGCTTTCATATGCAAAATATCTAATTTTTTATATAAAGTGTAAGGTTTGTAAAGCAATGTTTCTCTCATGCCTTTTTTTTTTCTTTTCACATCTTGCCTATCTATCATGCAAAGTAATTTTAATTTTAAGATTAAAAATACTTTTATGTATCAGAACATTTTGAAATTTCATATGCGAAATCTTTATAATGTCTGGATAGTTATCAAATGTTTCTTAAGAAAAAAACTTTATATTTTATCTGTTATTTTCAGTAGTTGATCTCTGTACGGGTTCGGTAGATTTGAACAATCTTGCAACTACCATAAAAATTAGATATTAAACATAAATAATGTCTCTTTCATTCTAAAATGAACACAGATTATAACATGAAAACATAAATGTTTAGACAAAATAGCTTAAATCTCATAACATTATACATTTAAATATATTTAATATTTTTATTATATTGTCCTTTAACCTGTGCATGGTTACAGTGATACAGCTCACGTGCACTCATATTACCATATCCAATAACATAAAACTGACTTTGGTCTGTACAAAGTAACTTGTCTTGGCTGTGTTTTAGTCAACTAGTATTTTGTAAAATACAGTCACATTTCAATTATTATACATTATGTATGTATATAGATTATTGCAATTTTGAAATAAGTTCTTAAAGTTATTGTTCCTAAAACATAGAACAGTAAATAACGAAGTAAACCAAACAATTATCTCTTCTAGTTACGACCTTTGTACTCTGTTGCTGCTTGACGTAGGTTGCTAGGCATTTAAAAAATTTGCACGTGAAGAATATGAATAAAATATATTTTTTTAGGTTTTATATATATATTTGAATAACTAAAAAATCGTAAATTACTACATCAGTACCATAGATTTCAACTGTAATTTATCAAGCTTAGTAACTAAGATGTATTTTACTCTAAAAAAAATATGAAATTTCAAGCAGACAAAAGACACAACCTACCTCATTGAAATCTTGGTTCAAAAGAAAGGAATGGCACCAAGTTCGTTAAAATGGCTGAGAAAGCCACTGGGGGGGACATTCTGAACTACCGATTGGTTATTCATGTCATGTATAGAAATAAGTGTATATAAGGGAGAGTTTCCAAGAATGGAAAGAGGTGGACGGGGTGCTACTGTGTTTGATTTACATGGTTCGTACGGGTCATGGAAAACCTGGAAAGTCATGGAATTTTACTTTCATATTTTCCAGGCCTTGAAAGTCAGGAAAAATTGATAAATTGACTAAAATGTCATGGAATATCAAAATTTGTGAAAATTCATTCCATTTTTCACTAGAAATGTAAATAAATTTAGATATTTCAACCATTTTCTTCCCGTGTTTTCTTTTATTAGTAACATTTGCCGATTGATTGTGAAAATGAGTTCATCACTTGCATTGCGTGCCTGTATGAGTATTGTGTGTGTACAGTGGTTGTGTGTGCTGCTGTCTCGATCTCTGCATGCACTTGGGTGCATATGCATTGTGTGTGCGTGCGTGTGTGCTGTGTGTATTGCCAATATGCATGTGGCAATTGCATGCACATGCAGGCCATAGGCGCGATGTCATATTGTTGCCAGATATACTATTTTGAATCCCATGGAAACGATAAAAATCCCTTTAGAAAGAGAAATATAATTTTTACTTTTGATATAAACAGAAAATGTTATATGTATTTTTTTTCTGACCTGCTTCGATAATTTCAATACAAATAAAATAATTTACAAACCCTTGACGTAATGATAGTTCGAAAATTCGAATTTGGCCGGCACGTACGCTAGCACTATCTGGCTATACAAGTGGACGTGTGTTGTTACATTACATGTTGTTTCGCGCTGCTGTTTTATTTTCACATCCAACTTGGCATTTAACGGAGATTCTTTCGCAATATTTTTGTGACTTTTGACTGCTACAGTTTTTGAAAGTGAAAATCAAAATGCCAGGGAACTGTCATTTCAATGATGCTTGGTTAGAGCACCCCGTTTATCTTGAGTGGATTATGAAAGTAAGCTCAAATCCGTCGACCACAAGATGTGCTGTTTGCACGTGCAATTTCAGTCTCAGCAACATGGGCGAAGCAGCCGTCAAGAGCCACATGAAGAGTGAAAAACACAAGACAAAGCTAGTCAAACAACGAGGTAAGTTTACATTTCTTTTGGAAATATTGCATTGCTCATCCTTTGGTATCCAAACAAACATATTTCCTCTAAATTGAAAGATTTGGTAGTAAAATCAGGGTTTTAAATCATAATTCCGTACGGTATACCAACTTGTTATCACGATATCTCCTTAACTATCCAAGATGTCGGCATCCATCAGACGATTGAATTCGGTGTTTCAATAAAATCAGAAGTAATTATTTCAGTAATTTGTTGACAAATTTTCAACAAAATTTCACAATTTCAGAGGTATTGTGTAGAATTTATCTCGCTCAAAAACACAGCAAAATTATGTAGAAGGGAAAAGGAGTAAAACGAAAACTACAAGTTAAAATTTTGTTGGTACCATTCTCAGAGTCTCAGTCTCAGACTATGTTTGATGTCCAACTTGACTTGTTTTTGTACAACGAAAGCATTCTGTATCATGTAAAAATATGTTACAAAAATAGAAAGTGATAGGCAGAACACTCCACTGAGCTATCCATTTCAAAATTTCAAATTTTTTGGCGGTAATTGGAATTGTCCAAATGCTGCCTTGCTGGGGGATCGCAAGCCGATTTGTGTTCGGGTCACAAAGTCTCAAAGAAAAAAAAAAGTTAATTAATTTAATAAATTTATAATGAAAGAGGGATAACTTGGATTATTATTTCAGCAAAGTTATTGACAATTTTATGATGAATATTATTATTTGCATACAAGTTAATGTGTGCTAAGTGTACACACCCATCAAGTCAACTGACTGTGAGGTTGAATTACACATTTATTTGAATTGAAGTGCTTCAGAAGAATTATTTTTCATAATGGTAAAAATGGATTTAAAAATTGTATTACTTGATTGAAGGAAGGACCAAAATTGCAATTTATCACAGATGGAAGCTCATTTTGTTTTTAAAATTTGTATAGAGTTTTACAAAATCCTGTCAATTATTATGGAATATTTCAGAATATACACTATAGACTATAAAAGAGAAAAAAATCTAGAATTATGATATTTTTTATTCTTAAGAAAACTCAAAATTGGATTTTAATACTACAGTAGTACCCATTTATTTATTTTTTTAATTTCATATCGTGAAATTTACCGCTTTGATTTATGTTCTTTTTTTTCTTCAAGGCTCATGTACTCTCACAATAAAGAGCTTCTTCAAGCCAAAAGGAGAATGTCCTTCAGTTTCTACCACTCAGTCTGCAGATGCAATGCTGAGTACTTGTGCTCCATCAACCTCCAAAGTGACATCTCCCATTCCTGTTGCTGCCAGAGAGGATACATTGAAAGCAGAAATACTCTGGTGCCTGAAAGTGGTTGAA